AGCAGGGGGAGGGGGAGAGGGAGAAGCAGCCTTCCCGCGGAGCAGGGAGCCCGCTGTGGGGCCCGATCCCAGGACCCTGGGATCATGACCTGAGCGGAAGGCAGACGCTTAACGACTGAGCCACCCAGGCGCCCCTTCAATTCTGTTTAATTGAGCATATGTAATGAGACAGGTGTCAGATCTACAGACACAGATACACCCTACTTCCTTTTGTGCATCCGCTCTCTCATCCCCCTCCATTTTCCCCTCTGGAGATGGGTATAACGCAAGGTTTCTCAACCTTACCACTACTGGCATTTTGGACTGGATGATGATTGTTGTGGGGCTGTCCTGTGGTTTGTAGGATGTTTTGGGGCATCCCTGGCTTCTAATCACTAGATGCCCCTGTCAGGACAATAAAAAATGCTCCCAGATATTGCTAAATGTCCTGGGGGGGGATTGCCCCCAGTTGAGATTCACTATTATAAGGGAATAAACAGGGGAGATGGAGATAATAAAATCCCCAAATCTTAGAAGGCAGTATCTCCAAACTGTTTTTTTTTTTTTAAGATTTTATTTATTTGAGAGAGAGAGCACATGAGAGGAGGGAGGGGCAGAGGGAGAAGCAGACTCCCCGCTGAGCAGGGAGCCCGATTCGGGACTCGATCCTGGGACTCCAGGATCATGACCTGAGCTGAAGGCAGTCACTTAACCAACTGAGCCACCCAGGTGCCCCTCTCCAAACTGTTTTGACCATGCACTCTTAGCAACAAAAGAAGGGCTGAGGATACAGCCCAGCATTTATTTGTATAAAGTCTATATATATCCTCTGTGTTGTCCTTTTATGTAAGTATAAAATATCCACAAAAGTAGACTTTGTTTTTTAAAGGAGTGGATAAAAACCTAAGTAGATATTCGAATATATTCTTCCCACAAGCAAACGGGTCATCTTGTGTACTCCCTGGGGTATGACCATTCCACCTTAGAGACCACTGCTGGGCTGTAATGAGTGCAGCCTTTGGGGCTAGGTAGGTCCAAGCTCACAACCCTGGCTTCAGTTCCCAGGACTGCCATTTACTAGTTGAGTTACATTTATTCAATCATTAAAAATGTCAGGAATACAAGTGAAAACAAGACATAACTCTCAAGGAGCTCATGGTGAGGAGACCTTGAGCAACCCAATGGTCTCAGGTTCCTCATAGGTAAGTGGAGATATCTGGCAGCATGGTAGTAAGGATTAGTAAGATAATATATGAAAAGCATATAATAGGTACTCATAAATGGTACCTACTAATTCACTGTAGGACCATTAGTGATAACTAAAGACTGGAAAGAGCCAAACTGTATATCATTCAAGGACTGGTTGAAGAAACAAAGGTACATCTGCACAATGGATTAATACACAGCTGTAAAGAGGAAGGAGGAATGTAGATCTATCCTGCTATGAAGTGATCTCCAGGATATGTTGTAAAATAAAACAAGGTATAGGGTCAAGTAGAGATGAAGCACAGGAGACTTTTTAGGGAGATGAAACTATTCTCTATGATACTATAATATATGACACTATGCATGTGCCAAAACTCATGGAACTTTATGAAGTAAGCCTTAATGTCTATGAATTATAAAAGATCATTATAGGAGGTCAGGGGATCCTAGGTAGAATACAGACTGTGACAAAAGAATCTATGAAATAACCTCTTTGAAGGGGGTGGGGAAAAGGGTGCCGATCTAAGGAATTTTGGAAATGAGTGAAGTCTGTAAGACTAAAAGTCAAAGACTTATGCATAAGTAGTGTACTCTAGTTGATAAAGTATTTCCCACGGGTGTATGGGTTAACAATTCTGAAAACACTATATGTATACTGGAAATGATGATCAAATAAATGGATGGCATATGGTAGGAGCCAGGCTTTTCAGTTTTAGAGCGGAAGGTTACAGATAAGCAAGGGGTGGGGGGATGACTGGAAAGATCCAGGGGCCAGGTGGTAATGCATTAGAGTTGTAAGCCATCATTATGCACACATTCAGCTTACCAACGGAGATATATGTGTTACTACATACACTATACATACATACAAGTGCATACATACGTTATAAATATTCATAGGTATGGGGATATGGAGGAGTTAGTATTCATACAAATATTTACTTCCCTGTCAGCTGAGAGAACCTAAAAGCAGTAACAGTTGCAACCAGCACAATTAGTGTCCAGGTCTTGGTTTCTAATACCATTTCCCAGTGAAAGGAAGCAGGGCTCCTTGGAGAATTGGCTGACTCTAGGTCTAGAGCATCCTGTGCCAGAAAGTAAGGATGTGCTCTATAAAGCGCAGTGATGGAAGTATGTCAAAGGGACAGTGTCATCAAAGTAGGAACAATTTGAGCAAGAAAGTAAAGTGGTATTGGATTATAAAGCAAAGTATAAAATAAGTGAGTCCATGCCAATATGAATATGAGTCCATACCAATATGAATGATTCAATAAATAAATGGGGGAGAAGAGACAAATCTCCCATGCAGAAGAATTTTTTTTTTTAAGATTTATTTATTTTAGAGAGAGAGTAAAAGAGAGAGAGAATGGGAGAGTGGGGGGGGGAGGGGCAAAAGGAGAGGGGAAGAAGACTCCCCTCCGAGCACGGAGCCTGATGCAGGGCTTGATACAGGGCTCAATCTCAACCCTGAGATCATGATCTGAGTTGAAACCAAGAGTGAGACACACTTGAACTGACTGAGCCACCCAGGTACCCCTCCCATGCAGAAGAATTATAAGCAATATATGTAGATACCCTGCTCATAAGGAAGTGGAGCATAACTCCCCACTCCTTAAGTGTAGGCGGTGCGGGGTGACTTCCTTCCAAGAGGCACCGTCCGCAAAAGGGGAGAGGAACTTTACAGAAGAGACACCTGACAAACACTGCCTCAGCCAGATGATCAAGGTTAACATCAACAGTAATAATTCATGGTGATAGTATGTACCCTCACTATGATATGATGAGAATGACATTTTACCTCTCTGGTCTTCCTCCCTAAAACCTATAGCCCCAGTCTAAGCATGAGAAAAACATCAGACAAATCCCAATTTAGGGACATTCTACAAAATACCTGGCCAGTACTCCTCAAAACTGTCAGGGTCATCAAAAACAATGTAAGTCTGAGAAACTGTCACAGCCAAGAGGAGCTTAAGGGGACATGCCAAGGAAATGTCAGGATGGCCTCTAGATGCCCTTGCTGTTCCCAGCACAGAATGCTAAGGTGGGATGGAGGCACCAACAGACATGTAATCCAAAGCCTAGGGAAGCACCTGCATGAGTACAGTTGTGGCTCCCAGCCATTTTCCTGACCGTCTTTTACATCACAGGTTGAAATTCTTTTTAAAGATTATTTATTATTTATTATTTATTTATTATTTATTTATTTTTATTTATTTATTATTTATTATTTATTATTTATTATTATTTATTTATTTATTAATTAAGGGGGTGGCGGAGAAGTAGAGGGGGAGGAGGAGGGACAGGCAGACTCCATGCTGAGCTCGGAGCCAGTGCGGAGACCCTGAGATCTTGACCTGAGCCAAAACCAAGAGTCAGACGCTTGACCAGTTGAGCACCCTTCAGGCCGAAATTCTTGATCCGACCATGCCACACAGATAAAACTCTGGGCTGGGGTTGCAACTGTGGTTAGGAAATTAGAACTGAATTGGCATTCTACTCTACCATTGAAATTGTTACTTGGAGATTACTAAACTTCTCTCTGTGCCTCTTTTCTCATCAAGCTTAAAATTAAGAATTATCATCGTAACCACTATCATAGTGTTTGAGGAGCATATAAGATAAAGTAAGTAGGGTGCTTGGCCTAGTTCTTGGCACTTAGTTCTCAATAAATGTTAGCCCTGTGCTGTTGTGCTTTGTATGATTCATTTAGTGTATATATTTTCCCCTGACAGAATTTAAGAAAATTGCTAACCAGGTATTGGAAAATGGAAAAGACAAGAGGGGGTGTTGAGTTATCACAGATGTACTCACTGCAGGGAAGGGCTACCACACTATACTGGAGGATCAAAGAAAAGAATTTCAGATATTGTTTTTAATAGCTTTATTGAGGATAATCTATATACCATAAAATTTGTCCGATGGAAGTGTATGTAATGCTTCAGTGACTTTTCAATAAATGTACACAATTGTGCAATCATCACCACAATCCAGTTTCAGAACATTTCTATCACCTCCCCAACTTCTTTCATGTCTGTTTGCGTTTAGTCCTGGCCCCCACTTTTCTGCCTCCATAGATTTGTCTCCTGTAAGTTTTGAAAAATTCAGTAGTAAAAGGTCATACCAAACAGATGCTATTTAGTAACAGTCTCAACACATTTTGTGCTCTTTCTCTCTTTTTTAAGATTATTTATTTATTTATTTATTTGACACAGAGACAGGGAGAGAGGGAACACAAGCAGGGGGAGTGGGAGAGGGAGAAGCAGGCTTCCTGCCGAGCAGGGACCCCGCTCAGAGGCACGATCCCAGGACCCGGGGATCATGACCTGAGCCGAAGGCAGACGCTTAACGACTGAGCCAACCAGGCACCGCCCCCCCTTTTTTTAAGTAAGCTCTACACCCAAGGTGGGACTTGAACTCACAGCCCGAGATCAAGAGTCTCATGCTCTACTGACTGAGCCAGCCAGGCGCCCCCAGACTTAACATATTTTAAAAATCACAAGCTTAAAGTTGTTTAAAAGTTATAGTTTTAGGTAACATGGAACTCGTCATAAAGTAAAATCAATTTTTTACCAAAAAGGGGGGGTAAGGTGAGAAGAGGTTCCACCTAGGGGCGTCCAGGACTGGGGTGGTGGTTCTTGAGAAGGGCAGCTTCCGCGCGACCCCGCCAAACCTGGAGCTAAGACGCGGCTCACCTGTGCCACGCCCGCCGCGGCCTCCCTCCGGCGCAGGCGCAGTGACGCCGGTTTGCTGGCCGAGCGGGTGTTCACATCGATCGCGAGCGCGTAGCGATTGCTTCTGTCTGTTGTTTAGGGATGGCGCCGGCGACGAAGCTGAGAGGCGGCGGGAATCTGGGCGGGGGTCTCGCTCTGTGCTGACCGCGAGCCGGGTCGGAGTGGGCTATGGAGGAGCCCGGCTCGTTGGTCACGGGAGACCGCGCCGGTGGCCGGAGCTGGTGCTTGCGGCGGGTAGGGATGAACGCGGAGTGGCTGCTGCTGGAGGACGGAAACGAGGTGAGGGGGAGGGGTCCTTGGGCGGGGGAAGGGGGTTAGAGGAAGCAGGGCCGGGAGGGAGCCGGGGCGTCCCGGCGGGAGGGACGAATTGAAGAGAGGAGGTGGGAGCCGGCCAGAGGGGAGAAATGTGAAGAGGGGGTCCTGAGGGAGAGGAGGAAGGGGTTCTGGTGCGGGCGGCTGGGGGAGTCAAGGTGCGAAGTGTTTGGGGGGAAAGTGGGGACCGCTCGGGAGAAAAGATGGCCCCTTTGAGAGAGGTCTGGGCCTGCGGTGCGAGAGCTTGGGCAGGAGTCAGGGTTGCGGGAGGGAGCTGGGGGAGGGGCTGGAGGAGGGGTGGGCCGTGGAGGATGTGCGGACCAGCCTGGGGTTTGGAGGGGAAGGAGGCGACTGGGTTGGGGAGGGCACTGGGACAGCCCCTGTTTGGATCGGACGGAGCCCTGTGGTGTCTGGCCCTGGCGGCAGAGCTGCCCCAACTTCCACCCGGAGTCACGAAGCGCCCGGTGTCCGGGGGGGTTGGAGAGGGGGAGCGGAGAAGCATGAACTTCCTAGAGTTTATTTTGAAAAAGACTGTTTGGGTCATGTCCTTTTAAATGCGTAAATATTAATGTAAAAATGTCTTCTTTTCCAACTCTTGAGGAAAATTGACGCTTTGGGAGGGTCCACATTTATCCTTTGAGTCTTGGTACGGGTTGAGTGGCACCCCCTGAGGTGGGTTGGGGGTAGGGATTCAGAAATATTAGAGCTGCCCTCTCCAGGGGCCGCTTGTAATGTTTTCTAATGCGCTCGTGAATGCAAAAAAGAAAAAAGAGGAAAGGTGAGGCACGGTTCCAGTTGGGGGCCGCTGGGGTGGTGGTTTCGAGAGAGTGATAGAAGAGGGGCAGAGCGATTTAGAGTGCAATCCCCTCTGGAAAGGGAGCTGGATCAGGGACCAGCTTGTGGTGGTGACTGGGAACCATTTGGGTTTTGGAAATAATTTATATGAAAGATAAGTCTTTTGATTATTATGTCTGCTTAATTAGATTTTTTCTATAAGCTACATAATCTCAATTCAGTCTCCCAGATATTTATTATTTATGTTTTTTGGTGTATTGTGAGAGGGACAAATAATAGCGACTTTGCTCTCAGAGTTTATTGCTTGAATGGGGAAAGACAATTTTATACAGTGAAGCAGTCTGAGAACAGGCATGCAGGCTGTACAATTAAGTGCCAAGATGTGGATTATTTAGTACTATCCTAGAACAGTGGTTCCTCAAGTAAGAGATGGGAGTCAGGTCCAGCCTTAACTTGCTAGATTAGGAGGTTTTAAATGGTTACTCAGGTGCTGTGATTTGAAGAACAGGAAAACACCTCTTCCCCCAGATCTCTCTTTTTCTATCCAGGTATCAGTGCCTGGAGTCCACATTAGGCACACATTCTTTCTTTTTTAAGATTTTCTTTATTTATTTTAGAAAGAGAAAGCAAGAACACGCTAGGAGAGAGGCAGAAGAGGAGAATCTGAAGCAGACTCCCCGATGAGCCAGGGCCTGACATGGGGCTCTATCCCACCGCACAGGGCTCGATTCCACAACCCCTGAGATCATGACCTGAGCCAAACCCAAGAGTTTGATGCTTAACCAACTGAGCCACCCAGGCACGTCTCAGCACACATTCCTTGAGCTTGAGGCTTGAGCCTTGACCTTTCCCTGCCTGGCTTTTTCCAAAAGCATTTACCTTTGGGAAGTTTAACAAATGAAGATACCAACACCCGAGTATTAGTAGCTATTCCTTATTTTGTACTGGGTTTGGGCTTTTACAAGTATTACTTAACCTGAGCCCTGAAAGTGTTCCACACTCACACACAGCCCTATAAAGTACTTAGTCAATTTTTTTAAAAAGATTTATTTATTTATTTTGAGAGAGTGAGAATGAGAGAGAGAGAGAGAGAGAGCGAGCACATGAGAGGGGGGAAGGCCAGAGGGAGAAGCAGGTTCCTCGCTGAGCAGGGAGCCTGATGCGGGACTCGATCCCAGGACTCCGCGTTCATGACCCGAGCCGAAGGCAGTCGCTTAACCAACTGAGCCACCCAGGCGCCCCAGTACTTAGTCAATTGTTAACGTTCTTTCAGATTCAGTTGATGTGGACTAATTCATTACTTCTGAATAGCTTGATAGCACTGGGAGTGGGAGTAGGAGTTGGGGGGGGCAAAAGAATTAAAGCCCCTGTAGCAAAGGCAAGAGGAACTGTAAAGTACTCCACATCTATTTTTAAACCCTTGGATAATTTTGTGTAGGGCCACCTCTATGGGAAGAGACCCATACAAACCATAGTGAATGGTAAAGACATAGTAGGAAGCCCGGCTTGCCCTGGGTGCTTTGTGAGAGAACTGCCAGGCCTGGCTGTCTGCAGGGTCTGGTGTTAGGAAGTAGTTGGAGCATAGCCTGCAGTGTGTGTGAAGAGAGGTCTGAACTAAGGCAAGAGATGAAGTCTAACTTACTTCAGTGGGCCCCAAACCAAAGATAAGGTGGTGTGTACAAGATTTAGGAGGTGTGCTTATATGATGTAGTTATAGCAGCAGAATCAGTTTCCTGCCTTTCCAGTCCTCCTCAAAGTCTCAGATTTCCCAGATAAAACGATAAAACAAGGTTCTTCTTATTTCACTGAAGTAAGTAAATTGTCTGAATGGGTGTCCTTAAACTTTTTTTTTCCCCAAAGAGGCCTTTTGATTGATTGATTGATTAAGTAAGTAATCTCTGCGCCCATCGTGAGGCTCAGACTGAGGACCCTGAGATCAAGAGTTGCATGCCCCACCAACTGAGCCAGCCTGGCACCCCTGTCCTTTAATTTCTTGAACCAATCCAGAGAGTTTGGGGGAAAACCAAATTAGATAGACATGTATTGCAAATTAGCTAGGCCTTATAAGTATCTAGGGCTTTGGGAAGAACCATAGTATCTTCGTTTTTCTCTTTTCTTTTCTTGTATTTGGTTTTCATGAAACTTTTTTGCCCTAAGGGTGTTGGAAAAAGGGAAAGGATGGTTCTAGAGTATTTGCTGGCCATCTGGGAAACAATAGGAGTCATGCCCAGGAGAAATGAGATAGCAGTGAATGTGGGTAAGGACAATGGCTTGCAAAACTGTTGTAAATAGAAACAACCCCCAACACTTGCATTGGTGGTTTGTTGGCACTCAGTTCCCATGGGAAATTTCCTTTTATGTCCAAATGATGCTGGAATATCCGGATAAGTGCACCACAGACTCTAACCTTGGTGTACCTAGGTAAATTATAGGACCAGACAGTAAAGGGTAGGACGAAAAAGAGTGGTTCCTTACTTCCCTGGATTCAGAGTCTGTAGGAGGCTATTGGAGAAAAAGGCACTCATCTCCCTTTTCTGTAATACTTTACCCAGACAGCTCTCAATGGTAACCTGGCTGTCTCCTCTCATGTATTAAAATGGGCTATGGAGTACTTCCTTAACCGGGGCGCCTGGGTGGGTCAGTTGGTTGGGCAGCTCTTGATTTCGGCTTAGGGTCATGAGATCAAGCCCCACATTAGGTTCCATGCTCAGCTCTCTTTCAAATTAAAAAGAAAAAAAAAAACAAAAACAGAAAGAAAGCTACCTACATGGAAATTCTTACTGCTCCAGGATGACAGATAAACCCTTAAACATTGCATCTTTAAAAAATTTTAATTATTTATTTAATTATTTTAAGTAGGCTCCATGCCCAGCATGGGGCTTAAACTCAAGACCCTGAGATCAAGAGGCGCATGTTCTACTGGCTGAGCCAGCCAGGTGCCCCTAAACATTCCATTTTTAAAGGAGATATAGGTAGGTAGGTAGGTAGATGGATGGATAGATATTCAGAGGAACTTGGATAATAAATGGAATTTCTGGCAAACTGTTCAAAGAACTCAAGAATTTAAATCAGATTGTAAGAGTTCCTGGCTTCTGCTCTATAGTTTCCAGTGGTAATGACCCAGTTTCCAAACTTCTGACCTAAAAAGTGCTTATCCTAGAATCTGGGAGGACTCATAAGCTCTTTATTCCTCTGTTCACTCACACATATTTACTAAACACTGTCCCAAGCACAGAAATACAGTGGTACACAAGATAGATAAGGTCCTTGCTTATGAAATTTATATTTTAGTAAAGGGTGGGGAATAGGTAAAGCAAACAAGATAATTTTGGATTGTGACAAGTGCATGCTAACAACATGAAGGAATGCAATGGTGGGGGAGGGCGCAGGCAACAACTTTAGGGTAATCAGGGTAGGCCCTTGAGGAGCTGAAATTGAAAGATGAGAAGGAGCCCATACAGATGTCTCAGAAGAGTGTTCTAAGTAGAGGGGACTGGAGAAAAGACCCTCAGGTAGTGGTGAGTGTTTCTGACTGTGGTATGAGATAAGACTAAAGAGTTGGAGGGGGTTAGGAAGTTTGGATCGTTAATGTAGTTTGGATCGTTAATGTAGTTTGGAAAGAAGGGAAGTGGTCTGATTAAAAGATTTTAATTACCACTCCAGCTGCTGTGAAGAATGAAGTTGGTTTGAGTGGGGAAGGCAGTTCGGAAGCAAAAACAGCTGGAGGAGGTCAGGTTGTTTGGACTAAGGTATTGGCCATAGAGATAGAAGTGGACCGATTTAGGAGATATTTGATTTATAACCAGTAGAATTTGCTGATGATTTGAATGTGAGGAGGAGGGACAGAGAAGAATCAAAGATGGCTCGTGGGTTTGGGGTTAAGCAGTTGCTTAGATGGTAGTGTCAGTTACTGTGATGAGAGTTTTCGCGGAAACATAGATTCGGGGTAAGGAGAGTCATGATGGTCTTTGAGGGACTGAAGAGGACTGGCATGATTCTGAAAGATTTTCAGAAAGAACAAAATGGGTAGCTTTTAGAAAATCACAGACCATTTGGCTTACTGTTCCCAGCTAAGGTTGTGGTATGGGTTATTATAGAGATGGCTTGTGCACCAAAAAGAAGCAGCAGGAGATTCTAAGATCTAAATTTCAGGGGAATTTCATTTTCTTCCTTGACAGGGTTATTATAAACTAGACTGGTCCATCAGAAAAGTGTGATAGATGAGAATTGAGGCTTCTTTGCAACCTTTTTCGTGAGGCTCTCATGCTGTCCTCATGGATAAGATGGGAAATATGGACTCAGTGCAAAGACTTCTGGTTGAATTACAACTGGTTAAAGGTGTAGCCAGATAGTGTGGTGGAATGTTTACTAGGCTTTCCTGGGAGCTTTGCCTTTGGCTACATCCTGTTTCAATCTTTTTATCTGTATCTTGAATGTACAGAAGGCCTTATATCAATATAGTGGATGAGTCAAAGCTGGAAGGGATACTGAGTATGTCTGATGGCAGATTAAAAATTCAGAAAGGTCTTGACAAGCTCATGTGATAGGCTGAACTAACAAGATGAAATTTAATAGGAATCAATGTAAGGTCCTGCACTCGAATCCAAATGTACCAACTAGTCAAGTATAGGACAGAAGAGACATGACTTAGCATAGCAATTCTTGGAGGAGGGTTAGACCAAGAAATTTAATCATTCCTAAGCCCGAGGATACATTGGCAGCATGATAGATCTGCTCTGAAAGCTAATACAATTTATATGCTCCAGTGATGGTATCTAGAACTGGGAAAGTGATGCTTGCATTTGACTGTGTTATAAAAATTAATTTTTTAAAAAGATTTTATTTATTTATTCATGAGAAACAGAGAGAGAGAGGCAGAGGGAGAAGTAGGCTCCCCGCGGAGCAGGGAGTCCGATGTGGGACTCGATCCCAGGACCCCGGGATCATGACCTGAGCCGAAGGCAGACGCTTAACCGACTGAGCCACCCAGGCGTCCCAAAATTAATTTTTTTTTTAAATGTGACATCTAGGAATAAAAATAAACCAGGAGTCCCTTCACAGATGTATTAGGCTCGCAAAGAGACCCAAACCTGTGCCATGGGAGTTAAGTTTGAAGTAACTGGGAACATAGGGCCAGAAAAGAGAAGACTAAGTAGACACTTTGTAACTGTCAAGTGGAAGGGGGGATCGGAGATTTTCTCATGGTGTTCAGGGCAGAGCCAGAGCCAAAGGATGGAATTTATAGGAAGAAAGATGCCAAATTAGGGCCATTGAAAAATTGGAAGGACTGTCTTGTATAGAGGCTGTAGTTCTTGGCAGTGTTTAAGACTAGTTGATGGGCAAAAGGAATGAAATCTTGCCATTTGCAACGACGTGGATGGAACTGGAGGGTATTATGCTGAGCAAAATAAGTCAATCAGAGAAAGACATGTATCATTGGTATGAGGAATTCTTAATCTCAGAAACAAACTGAGGGTTGCTGGAGTGGTGGGGGGTGGGAGGGATGGGGTGGCTGGGTGATAGACACTGGGGAGGGTATGTGCTATGGTGAGCACTGTGAATTGTGTAAGACTGTTGAATCACAGACCTGTACCTCTGAAACAAATAATACATTATATGTTAAAAAAAAAAAAAGATAGTAGGAAGGGAAAAATGAAGGGGGGGAAATTGGAGGGGGAGACGAACCAGGAGAGGCTATGGACTCAGAAACAAACTGAAGGTTCTAGAGGGGAGGGGAGTGGGGGGATGGGTTAGCCTGGTGACAGGTATTAAAGAGGGCATGTACTGAAAGGAGCACTGGGTGTTACACACAAACAATGAATCATGGAACACTACATTAAAAACTAATGATGTAATGTATGGTGATTAACATAACTAAATAAAAAAATGTTAAAGGAAAGAAAGAAAGGAAAAAAAAAAGACTAGTTGATGGGGCGGTGTGGAAAGGATTCCTCCATCTCATGACAAAAGTTCAGGGTCCTCCCAACTCTGACATTCCATGATTAACTTCATTCAGCTGTCTCCTTGTCAGAACTTCTTGCCTTTTTCTACCTGCTGGTTCCCGTGGAAGCTAAGGAGATAGCTGATAAGCTGTATGGGTTTCACAAGAGTCTGGTATCTTAAGTCAGGACGTGTGAATATTGCTGGTTGACAAGACTGCAAAGGCCCTCTCTTTTCAGCAAAATGACTGATTGTGTCTCTTACATTGTTGTCTTCCTAGGTGACTATAGGGCGAGGATTTGGTGTCACATACCAACTGGTATCAAAAATCTGCCCTCTGATGATTTCCCGAAACCACTGTGTTTTGAAGCAGAATGTCGAGGGCCAGTGGACAATTATGGACAACAAGGTACAGGAATCCACAGATGCCTAATGACTTTTACTGAATTCTTGTTTATTTTTAAGTTACTTTTTTTTTTTGCATAGGTAATACAGAATACAAAATTAAAAGGTTCAAAAGTGTATCTTCTCCCCTAGCCAGCCAGTTGTCTTCCCCACAGACAACCATTTCTGTATGCTGCCAGAGATTAGATTATACCAAAATAATTTCTTTTTTTTTTCTTTAAAGATTTTATTTATTTGACAGAGAGAAACACAGTGAGAGAGGGAACACAAGCAGGGGGAGTGGGAGAGGGAGAAGCAGGCTTTCTGCGGAGCAGGGAGCCCGATGTGGGGCTCGATCCCAGGACCCTGGGATCATGACCTGAGCCAAAGGCAGACGCTTAATGACTGAGCCACCCAGGTGCCCCCCAAAATAATTTCTAATGACTTGAACGAAAGTTCATTACTTCGAAGGAAACTCCTGAATTGGGGCAGTAGGTCCTGCTCCAGAAACAAGACTGAGTCACTGGGGGAATTGTCCTTTGTAAGTCATAGGTACAGAGACCTTGGGAAAAATCTAATGGATATTCTGGAGTATACCTATGGTTCAGAGCACTGGGAGGAGGAAGGAATTGAGCTGACTGCACTTAGCTCCTTCCCTTCCCAATTCCTTTCCATCAGAGCAACACTCCCATCCTCTTTTTAATCCCTTTTATATATTTGTGTCTTGAGGAAGATTTCCTTTGAAGACAGGCCTTTTTTGCTTTAAACAAATTTGAAAATCAGTGGTCTGGTGTGAATACTAAGGGAGGTGAAATAGTGTGTAAAGCCCAGCAGTTAGGAGGCACCTAAAGTGCAGATATACATGCACCCAGGGATACCGTGAAAATAGAGACTATGCTCTGAAAGAAATTCAAATGTTGACAGCTAAGACATTAGGAAGTAGGAAATGCCTTCAGACACCATCTTACACTGCTCTGGTTGGAAGGGTTGTAACGACACCTGGTAGAAAGAAGGGTAGTAAATGGTCTGAGACCAGTTCTGAGGTGTGCTGGGGTGGAGGGGTTATCTTACACTGCCAAGCACTGCTTGGGACGCCAGCTCGGTGTCTTACTATTCACCTCAGTTCTGATAGCATCGAATTCTACAGGTTAACACCTATGCATCTGACGAACAGCTGTAGATTGGAGGCTCCAAGGATGCCAGTCACAAGTCCAAGTTGTTTACTTGTACTTCTAACCAACTGGAACCAACTGGTTCCAATGACTTTCTCCCCCTTTGGATTTGATTAATTAGCTAGAGTGGCTTGCGGACGCCTGGGTGGCTCAGTTGGTTAAGCAACTGTCTTCGGCTCAGGTCATGATCTCAGGGTCCTGGGATCGAGCCCTGCATTGGGCCCTGCTCAGCCCGGAGCCGCCTTCTCCCTCTTCCTCTACCTGCTACTCCACCTGCTTGTGCTCTCTCTCTCTCTGTCAAAAAAAAAAAAAAAAAAAAATCTAAAAATTAGCTAGAGTGGCTCACAGAACTCAGGGAAACATTTGCTTATGTTTACCGGTTTATTATGAAAGGATAGGAATAAAGGATACAGAGGAACATCCATACAGAAGAGATGTGTAGGGTAAGGTATGCGGGAAAGGGCACAAAGCTTTCAGGTCCTGTCTGGGTGTGCCACTCACTCAAAACCTCCATGTAGTCATCAACCCAGAAGCTCTCTGAATCCATCCTTTTGGGTTTTTATGAAGGCTCTATTACACAGCATGATTGATTAAATCATTGGCCATTGGTGATCAGTTCAATGTCCAACCCCTCTCTCCTCCAGAAGGTTGAGGGGTGGGACTGAAAGTTTCAACCCTTCTATTACTGGGTTGGTTCCCCTAGCAAATAGACCCTATCCTTAGGTGACCTTGGCCTGGACCAAGGTTGCCTCATTAACATAATAAAAGACACCTTTTTGTCTCACCACTTAGGAAATTCCAAGAGTTTTTAGGAGCTCTGTGCTAGAAACAGGGATAAAGACCAAATATATATTTCTTATTATAATTCACAATATCACAGGTATCCCGCAGGCCTGCCTCATTTTGCATGCTTTTAAAACTGCTGGATTTAAACTGTTGAGAAACTACCTTCCTGACTAGGATGAAGTTGAGTTGGCATTGTGTTGAAGGAGAGGGTATAAGTGCTAAGTAAATTGGTTTGGTACGCTTCGCAAGGCGTTAGGAGCACAATAGAGATTGGTGCTGAAAAGGGGGCCTCAGAGATGATCAAGTTTAACATCTTCTGGGAAGAGAGGAATCTGAGACCCGATATATGCCTTCTAACTGGTTGAGTGAGTGAATGAGCCAGCCTCAAATAAGTCTCTACCATATCCTGTTGTCAAATTCCAGTGAAGTACTCTGATTTGCTCTACAGGTATGCTCCGCTTTTGGAAAGTTCACATTATCTATCCTACACTTCGCTTTTACAAAAGACCTACATTGGTGCCTGTATTTGCTAACGAAAAGAAATAGATTTCTTTTACAAAAAAGAATCAGAAGATTTCTTTTACAAAAAAAGGGCAAAAATAGTGTTTAACATTTGTTTTGCAGTGAGCTGTTATAGAGGCAGCGCGCACCAGAGCACTGAGAGTGGCCCTGCTAAGCTCTTTCCCAGGGGACTACACTCAGCATCTCAGCATCAAGGTGCCACAGCTTTGAACTGTATCTGGGAGCATCTGTGCTTTAATCTCGATTTATTCTGTGCATCTGTTAGCAAGCGATGTCCTAAGGTATCAGAAAAGCCTAAGAGAGGTTATATTTTGGGTCTGGGAACAATAAAAAAATTTTCCATATAAGTTAGTGGTGATTGCTTCTTTGCTTCTTTGCTTTACACCATTGGCTTGGGAACGCTCTACTTTTGGATATCAGGGGAAACCTGTACCAGTTGTATGATTAAAAAAAATTAATGATGCATATCTAAGTCATAGATGCCAGGTTTTAAAGCCCCTGCAGTAGCTTATATCAAACCACCTTAGGAAAAGATGCTTTCCTTATCAGAGTTGGTTATCTGAGAAATGGGGTTGCAGTATTAGAGGGGTGAGTTCTCTGGTGCTTCTCTCCTTGATTATGTGCAGTATGGATGTGTTCCATTTATGGGATAGCAGATTTTGAGAGGTTGGGAAGCCACCAGCTGACTGGTTTTAGTGTTCCTTGAATGTCAGCCTTAGGGACACAGAGACAGCCCACGCCAGCCACAGATCATGACTGCTTCTGGGCCGCTCTCCAGCATTTGCCGTTATACCCTTTCTTTGAAGGCTGTTGTTACCATGAGACTCCTCTCTTAGGGCTCAGACATAATACAGAGAGAAGGCAGGCTGCAGATTCTTCCAAGTCTTTTCTGGTTTAAGCCTCTTAGCTGTGATTCCATTTGTGAGGTAACTGATTTTTAAGAGAAGCTGTGACTCGAGTGTTTTGATGGAGCAACTGTTCTTACAGGTAAAAGCACCAACCCCCCCCCACCCCCTGCCTTTTTTTTTCCTTAACAGATGCTCCTTTTCTTTGTGGCTTTTTTCTGGCATGATGCCTTGGCAGTCCTCTTCTGATGAAGGATTTGAATTTCAGATGCAGGACATTATTGTTATGGTCATATTTGAAGTCATTTGCCAAGTCTTTTCAAGAGGTAGAGATTTCAAATAATTCAAAACTCAGAACTACACTCTCTCTTCATTAAATGGTCTCTCTTATATGCTGGAATGGCCAGAAAGTGAAAGCTTAAGTACAGACCTAAAAATTGCAACAAATGCAATTTTAGTTTAAATTGACTTAAAAAAAGAAAAACCCTGGGGGACTGCTGACTCTGCACACAGAATGTTGTCGTTGTGTACATTTCAGTTGAAAAGCTCTTCAGATGGCTCATCTTATGTATTAATATCCAGCTCATTCAGAAAATTTGTTGTTTCGGAGTCAGTCTGAAATGCCTTGGTGGGTTTACTTGCCTTCAGTCCTCGAGGCTCAGACATGTTGTTTGAACCTTTCTCATTCTTCTCATGTTGTTATTCGTGTGCTCCCTGGTGATTCCTACCTTCATGTCTGCAGGCTCTGGCATTTAATGTGTCTGGTGAATTCAGTCGTCTGTGAACAAACCTTGTTGCTTGGGACAGTTCAGCTTCTGGTTGTCCAGCAGCTGGAGCAGTGGCTCTCAACCCCATTTCCAGTTTTTGTGCTTACCTGGGGTTCTTCTAATTAATACTGCTGGTATCACATTAAAATTAAGAACTTCCATTCATCGAAAGACACCATTCAGAGAGGGAAAGGTAAACTCAGAGTGGAAGATGATATTTGCTACTCATAACCGATGAGGGATTTATGTTTGAATATGTACAGAACTCCAGATCAATAAGAAAAAGAAAGATAACCCAGTTTGTTTTTTTTTTTTAAGATTTATTTATTTATTTATTTGAGAGAGAGAGAGAGAGAGAGAGAGAGAGAGAGAAACAGCACGAGAGGGGAGAAGGTCAGAGGGAGAAGCAGGCTCCCCACTGAGCCGGGAGCCCGATGTGGGACTTGATCCCGGGACTCCGGGATCATGACCCGAGCCGAAGGCAGTCGCCCAACCAACTGAGCCACCCAGGCGCCCTGTTTTTTAAGATTTTATTTATTTGACAGAGAAAGACACAGAGAGGGAACACAAGCAGGGGGAGAGGGAGAAGCAGGCTTCCTGCAGAGTAGGGAGCCCGACGCAGGGCTCGATCCCAGGACCCTGGGATCATGACCTGAGCCGAAGGTAGATGCTTAACAACTGAGTTACCCAGGTGCCCTGAAAGATAACCCAGTTTTTAAAATGGGCAAGAGCCAGGCACTTCACAAAAGATTATGTCCAAATGTTCAGTATCCATGAGAAGTTGTTCAACCTCATTAGTGATCAGGGAAATGCAAATTAAAACCACAATGGAATACCACTACATACCCGCCAGAGTGGCTAAAATTAAATAATGACCATCCTAGGCATTAGCGAGGATGGGGGCAAATAGTCTTTTGGTAGAAGTATAAGTTGGTACAACCATTTTGGAAAGTTATTTGGCATTTATTACAGTTGCATATATATATACAGTTGCACATATTCTGACAATAATTTCACTGCCAGGAAACAACTCAGGTGTTCATCAACAGTAGATACAATCTTACAGTGAAACCTTATACTAGAATGAATATGAATGAACTGCTATATTCAACAGCATGGATTATTCTCACAAACAGTATTGAGTGAAAGAAGACAGACACAAAAGAATACATATTATATGATGCCATTTATATAATTGTCCAAACTAGGCAAAACTAGTGTGTGATGTTAAGCCACACTAGTAGTCCCCTTATGGAGGGGGAGGGGCTTAGGGGCTAGAGGGAAGTAGGGGTGGGGGGTGGGGGGACATTCTGGGATGCTGAGAATGTGGAATTTTTTTTTAAACCTTGTAGTTACACTGAGATGTTCACTTTGTGATTATTCATCTAGTTGTACATTTATGATTTGTGCACTTTTATGTTTGTATATTATGCTTTAGTAAAGAATTTCTAATACCAAATGCTGGTGAGCATGCAGAGTAACTAGAACTCTTAAACACCGCAAGTGAGAATACACAGTGATACCACCACTTTGAAAAACAGTTTGGCAGTTTTTTTGTTTTTTTAAACAACAAACATTTACTTCTCACAGTTCGGGAGTTTGGTAGGCATCAAGATCAGTGATTAGGCAGGCAGGTTTAGTTTCTGATGAGAACTCACTTCCTGGTTTGAAGATGGCTGTCTTTTTTTCTTTTTTTTTTTAAAGGGGGTTGGGGAGGGAGAGAAAGAATCTTCAGCAGGCTGCACGCCCAATGTGGAGCTCTACAGGGGCTTAACAACTGAGCCACCCAGACGCACCAAATAAATAAAATCTTAAAAAAAAAAAGCAACTTTACTTTAAAAATCCTGATACCTAGTCCCCATCTCAGACCAATTAGCCCAGTCAGTGTTTCTTTTAAACATTTCCAGGTGATTTCACTGGACAGTCAAGGTTGAGAACCACTGGGCTACATAAATCATTTAGTGAACTGTGAGAAAACATTGCCTGTTGGCTTTGGGTTTCCACTCTCCTCAATAGCTGATTAAAGACGCTGGGCAGAGATTGAGCATCAAGTGAAGTAATTGGCGTTTACGTGGGTGCTGGTTATCCCACCTTTTCCCCATCGATGGCTAGGAGTCACTGGGCAGGCTTTTCTTTGGTTATCACTTTGCTGTTGCTGATAGTGCTCAAACTGGGGATTGTGAAAACCAACAGCAAGAAAGGCTTGAGGGGTGCCTGGGTAGCTCAGTTGGTTAAACGTCTGCCTTTGGCTCAGGTCATGATCCCAGGATCCTGGGATCGAGCCCAGCGTCAGGCTCCCTGCTCGGCGGGGAGTCTGCTTCTCCCTCTCCTCCCTGCTCATGTGCTCTCTCTTGCCATCTCTGTCTCTCTCAAATAAATCTTAAAAAAAAAAAAAAAGGCTTGAACACAGTTTGGTTTATTTAAACCATTGTATTTAAGATCATATGCTGGGCAATACTCGACTGTTCTCATACAGTCATGGTATTTTCAACCTTTTCTACAGTCACCTTGTGAACAGACCTGACTTGGGGCTGTGGTCCAAAGTATACCACTAGATGTCACCAAGGAGTGATGAATGGATAAACAGATGGATCCAAGGGTAAAATGGGATGGGAAAATGTTGAGAGTTTATTTTCTGGATCTAAAGGGCTCTGAAGGAGGCGGGTTACTGTGGAGGATCTAGGGAAGGGTTTGCAGTACCTCTTAAAAGTTCACCCCAGTTTTTTAGTGGTTCCTTATTTGCTCCAGACTTGGGCTGCTTCTCTAACCTTCTTCTTTTATTTAACCCTCTCTTTGTCTTTGAGATTTTTCTTAAATATCTGTACCTTGGCAATAGGTGGCCTCCTGTGTCATAATACTTTCCCTGAGACCCTTTTCCTGTGTATAATCTGTAATTAACTATTCTGCTATAGAACTGCTATAGAGTCTTTTGGCCTCCCTCCCCCTCCTTTTTTATTTCTGCCTGTGTTGTTTCAGAAGTCAGCAGAACTCAACACTCTCATAATTTCTCAGGCTGAATATGAATAGAAAGGTTGGGAGAAGTTAGCCAGATAAGCCAGGTTAGGCCCAAGGCAGTGAGTTAAAGCCAGTCTTTCTGTATGTATCTGTGTTCATTTTTCTCTTCCTCTCTCCCCTCCAGCCACATAATATAAAACAAGAAGCAAGGGCCTACTACCAACCCAGAACTGAGATCCAAACTCTAGTCTTCATCCTCTGTGCCTTGTAGTCAAGCCCCCATCCCTCATATTTGGGTTGACCAGGCATCTTTTCTAGCTGTGAGGAGGTAGCTTTAGTTACCAACTTGAACATAGTCTTAGTCCCAGTTCAGATGTGACCTTCATCTCTGGACTGTCTCCCAAAGATAAGTTCTTTTTTTTTTTTAGATTTTATTTATTTGATGGAGAGAGACACAGTGAGAGAGGGAACACAAGCAGGGGGAGTGGGAGAGGGAGAAGCAGGCTCCCCGCGGAGCAGGGAGCTCAATGCAGGGGTCAATCCCAGCACCCTGGGATCATGACCTGAGCTGAAGGCAGACGCTTAATGTCTGAGCCACCCAGGCGCCCCCTTTTTTGTTTTTTTTTTTAAAGATTTTGTTTATTTATTTGACAGACACAGCAAGAAAGGGGGATAAGTTCTTAAAATGGGTTAAAATGCCCACTTGCCTTTTCCTTTCTTTCTTTCCTTCCTTCCTTCCAAATTTATTTATTTAAGTAATCTCTACTCCCAACGTGGGGCTTGAACTTACGACCCCAAGATCAAGAGTCCCATGCTCTTGCGACTGAGCCAGCCAGGCACCCCCCGCCCCCGTCTCTTTAAACTTTAAATCCTGCATTTGTTTCAAGTCTGTTTTAGAACCTGTCATCGCCATTTAGCATCTCTTCTCTGGCCCAGCTCTACATGATAGTCCTTTGCATTTATAGGCTGTGCTTTGTAATCCCATATTTACTTATATGTGCCCTCGTGTTTTCCTTTCCATATAGTCCGCTACTAAAAGTTGTTTTCATATCTTCTACTTTTGTGCTCGGTATATTTACCTTGCAAGATGCTGAGCACAGAATTGAAATGACTGTTGGTAAGCCGATTGAGCCAGAACATAATAATAGTAGTGAACACTTACATAATGCTTACCATGTGTCAGGCACTTTTCTCAGTACATTACATATGTCATCTCATTAAATCTACACAAAATCCATGCGGGAGAGTCTTTTATTATCCTTCATTTTATAGATGTGTTAACTGGGGCATGGAGAGGTTAAGAAAGTTACCCAGAGTCACACAGCTATTGAGTGATGAAGCCAGATTACAAGTCTAGGCACTGTGACTCCAGGGTCCATGCTCTCAACCCCTACACTGTGGTTTAATTTAAGTCATTAAAGTAAATATTTATCAAGTATTTGTTATATATGAGTCACTGTGCTCGGTGTTTTACATGTATTATTATTTCATTCATTCCTTACGGAGTGGTATGAGTAAGGAACTGTACTATCCCTATTTTGCAGACAGAACTGGGACACAGGTTAAGTAAAGTGCTGAAGGCCAGGCAACTCATAAACCCAAGGTGGTGCATTTGGGCTGTGAACTCAAGTCTGTCTGAGCCAGAGCACCAACTCTTAACCACTATGCTGTGTTCCCCAGTGGACCTCTGGGGCTATTAATTGGGTTAGATCCCGGTACGAGGTACTGATACAGTCTTTTTAGGTTTATGTATACTGGGAAGTGCTTTGCTCATTCACCAGTGTGTTTGGGGGCCACATTCAGAGACAGTGCATGTGTGACTTTCCTGGCTAAGCCTACCTTTTGAACCTCATCATTAGACGCTGCTTCCTTTGCTAATAGCTGTTTTTCCTGTCTTGGGCCATTGCACCCAGTTTAGGTCAATAGGAGCTATTCAACTGCAGTTTCTTTTAATGCTGCTGCAGTTGAGTAATTCATCTGCCAGTAATAAGGTGATTCCTGCCTATTATACCAGCAGTTCTCTGTGGAGGCATGAATGTAAAATGTAGGTAAAAAGCCAGAGCTGTTGGAAGAATGCTGTTTCTAAGGGTGGTGGTTTATGAACCTTTTCTATTTGTTCTCAAGGGTTTTCCTTCTGAAAAGGCAGAAGGTTTTGCAGCAGCAGGAAAAATTCCATTAAGAGGAAGAAAATCATGAAGCTTATTTCGTCTTTATTTCCCTTTCTCCAGAGTCTGAATGGTGTTTGGCTGAACAGAGAACGTCTAGAACCTTTAAAGGTCTATTCTATCCATAAGGGAGACCACATCCAGCTCGGGGTACCTCTGGAGAATAAGGAGAATGCAGAGTATGAATATGAAGTTACTGAAGAAGACCGGGAGAGGATGTATCCTTGTCTTGCCCCAAAGAATGACCAGATGACGGGAAAAAATAGGGGATTGAGAACTAAAAGGAAATTTAGTTTGGATGAATTGGAGGGTTCTGGAGCTGAAGGCCCCTCAAATTTGAAATCCAAAATAAATAAAGTGTCTTGTGAACTTGGTCAACCAGTGAAGTCTCATGGGAAAGGTGAAGTGGCCAGTCAACTCTCCGAATATCTGGATCCTAAGTTGACTTCTCTTGAGCCGAGGAAGAAGGCCACAGAGGCTCATGTTCACCCTGGCTCCGCAAAAGTCATAGAGCTTCATCCTAAGAAGCAGAAAGCCTCAAACCCGTCAGCATCTCAAAGCAGCTTAGAGCTAGTCAGGGTGACCATGTCCAGGATTCTGAAGCTGAAAATACAAATGCAGGAAAAACAGGTAGCTGTCTTGAAGGTGAAAAAGCAGACCCAAAAAGGGAACTCAAACAGAATTGTGAAAATGGAGCAGGAGCTGCAGGACTTACAGTCCCAGCTGTGTGCAGAGCAGGCCCAGCAGCAGGCCAGAGTGGAGCAGCTAGAGAAGACTTTCCAGGAAGAGGAGCAGCATCTCCAGGTACCACACAGGAGGAAAGGACGCCAGTGCTCCTCAGGGATGGGCAGGCCCTTGGTGAGCCTCTGGCCACAGCTCTGTGTTTCTGGGTCAGGGACCACGTGCTTTGAGTGCCAGGGACAGGAGATGGAATGGAAACAAAGGACTTTGAGAGGGACAAGGGGGTAGCATAAAGTGTTAAGACTTCAGCATGATGGTCAAGAGCCAGAGTGTGGTGCCATGATGGGGTAAGGTAGATGGCTAGCCAGGACATAACTGATCTCAGGGTGTAAAGCTGAGGCCCCTGAGAACTGAGGTAAGTTCAGAGAGAGGTTGGATGAAGGTCAGGGGGCCACAGAACCACAGTACACTCAGTTAAACCAATAGTGGTCCTTATGAATTTCTTTGCTGTGTCAAAGCCAAATCACTTAGCCCCAAGGCAGCGATGGGTCAGGTGGTAACTCTGCCCTTGTTGTGCCTGGCAACTTACTAGCTCTGATGATTAGTTAACTCTGTAGTTAACCTAGGAAGTGGGAGCCTAGAAAGGCAGAAAATGTTTTTGTTTCTATCCTAAGCATCCAGCACAGGAGGGGCCAGGTATACTGTGATTCAGTTGTTGGGTTGAGTGATAAGCACCTTCCCCAGTGCCTTTAGGAGGAGGGTCGAATAATGACCGTCTTAGCTGTGTCCGGGTAAGACCAAATGTGTCTCCATCCCTGAGTCATTTGCTTAGATTGCAAACTCTTGCACAAAGCTTCTAGGCTAGAGCTGATCCTGGTCCCTGCTCAAAATGTCAGTTCCCATCTGGCAAGAGGCACGCGTTTACTCCCACCTACTTGCTCAGGTAATATTGAATGTCAAGAATTCCCCGTTGTTGACTTAGAAATAAAAAGGACCAATCAGGATTGAAGTGAATAAGCTTTTCTGTTTTGTTTACTTTACTCAGGGCAAGGAACAACCAGTAGTGTTGGCTTATTTCTGAACAATTTATAAATTTCATTCTAATCTCTGCTATCCCCTTGAACTGGTAGCATTAGCAAAAGCCATGGATTAAATAGGTCTTTCTGAGGTTATACACTGCTTGCTTATGTGTACCTTTTTGCTTCCCTTACTGCCCTGGACTAGTTCTTGAAGTTAATGGAGGGAGTTCATCTTTTCATATTTAGTGTATGACACCTTCACCGGAGCAGAACCTTCTTTAAAGGCTAATGTGTTCAGGAACAAGAGTTATTATTAATTAATATTTGTGGCTGCTTTGGTCATGCTTCAGGATATAGCTTTAAAATCTTTTTCTATATCAAAATGGTAAAGAAAGGCAGAAAGGACTGGCTTGGAGGATTTCTAGGGTATTTGAGGGTCATATATAAATAGCTCAAGGTGAACTGTATCTGGTCCTTTGTTTATGAGTTGCATTTCCCTCTGCCACCAAGCCCTAAGGATTCTACTCCTACTAATTGTTCTAAAGCTCATTTAACTGTTGTTGCTTCACACAGATTTTTTTTTTTTTTTTTTGAGCACCTACATTGCCTGGTGTTCTATACTTGGAGTTCAGGTGGTTTTGAAGATGCTTAATAAAGGGTTTTTGCCATTAAGAAATAAATCTTGTTCAAGAAATGAGATATATTATACATGTAAAATAGGAGAGTTTTAAGTTTATATATTTAAATTAGAGAATAATTTCCAGTTAGCATATTAAATGGGCAGGTAGTTCTTAAAGAGGGAAGGGCCTAGAGGGTCTTGTAGAAGGTGCTGGACATAGGGCAACGATGATGTGGAAGGCATCCATATCAGAGGGGGCTGATGGAGAAAACAGCGTAAGTTGTAGCAAGGAGGAGAAGCAGTTTATGGTCTAGAAGTGATAGAGACTCACACTAGGAGGGCGGCCAGAATCGAGGGAAGAAACGTGGTGGAGCTTTTGAGTGTCAACCTAGGGGATTATATCTGAGTTTAGATATTTGGTGGCTTCGAAGCTCTCAGTTTACATCTTTCTGGGAGTCACGGTTTTAACCAGTGAAGGAGACTCGGAGTATTACCCAAGGGGTTCTCTCCAGAACAACTTGGGTGGTAGCTTGAAGGTGACAGCCCTGAGGTGTGCAGTGTTTGAGTAAGTAGTTCACGCTGCTCAAATCCCTTCCTGCCAACAACTTAAAGTAAAATGGGAGATTTTCCATCTGCTCCCTGCCCCCTGTTGTTTCCAGATGCTCACAGAAGCCAGTCGGCTCTGCTTGTTGCTAGATTTTGTTTCTTTTATCCCCCTCCCTGCAGGAAAACCTTCCATTTTGTTTTTGGCTTTGCAGGGTTTGGAGAAGGAGCAAGGAGAAGAGGACCTGAAGCAACAGTTGGCCCAGGCTCTGCAGGAGGTAACTTATTTCTTGCCACCGTACTGGGATTGTAGTGGGCTGCAGCTTCCCGTGGCCGCTGGCTGCCTCTTGTGCTTAGCACACACCTCTGCAGATCTCCACTCTGCAGACAAGCGGCTGCTCACACCATCAGGTTGGAGACTGGGCCTCACAGACATGCCAGGACTCAGCATGAAAACTTAGGTCTTCATCTGAGCAGACGTTGCCCTAGTGAAGATGGGATGGAGCCTTTAGCAGTTAGGAGGCTCTCTGGGGGAAATGCCTGTGCTTCCAGAAAGGTGAGGCCAGCAGAGGGGCATTTCAATCTATGACTTGGCCACCAGGGTCTGCAAGGGTCTTTATTACCTCACTGTTCCTGAGCTGAAGCCATCCAGAAACCATTCAAGAATGTTCCAATTAAGCATTTTAGGTCAGGTTGAGAGTGCAGTTTGACAGTTAGCAAAGCATAGCGATTTACTGAAAGGTCAAGGCTCACAGGAATAAATTCCCTTCAAAGATTGCCTGTAATTTATTTCATGTAACTTGACTATCATCTGATAGTCTTTTAAACCTTGCATCTTTTAAACCTGCTTTATCTTCCATCTTTAATGTGTTTATGAGCAGGAATTTGATGCAAGTTTTGTCAGGAGGTTAGCGGGATGGTTCAAATCTCCTTGAGAAGAGTGAGCAATTGCATTAGAATTTGTCTAGGAGAATTTTCCTTACGTTCTTTTCTTGCATATCTAACTCCCAACCTTCTTAGAATGCTAATAGCCCCGTATTATTATGAGCTTGGAGGGATGCCTGCCTTGATTTCCCTAAGGGGTGTACAAATAGCCTTGAAAAGCCTTGGGTGAAAATTAATTCAGTCTTTTTGGAATTTTATTTTCTAAGCTTGTTTTCTAGGGTGGGAAACTAGGCATATTTCCCATTTAGAGCATTATTAAATTGTATTGCAATATTGTTTTGAAATTGACTGGAAAAGAGTAAGGTTCTGCTACTTGGAAATCCCCAAGGGATCATTGAGTACCTTGGACCCACAACTCCTCACCCTGTCCTGAGAGATAGGAAAACATTTAGCATGAGGTAGTTGGCCAGTCTCCATTCATTAGTCTAAAATGGGATACTTTTAGGTCATGGTTTATAACAACATGCCTAGGGACATACCACTCTCTCAACTGAAACAGTGGTGGTTTTTTGGTCCACCCTGTTGGTCCCTCTATAGCAGTTCTTTTTTATTTACTAGGCAATTAGAAAAACTTGCGTTTACATAGAGCTTTTTTTTTTTTTTTAAGATTTTATTTATATATTTGACAGAGACACAGCAAGAGAGGGAATACAAGCACACAGTGGGAGAGGGAGAAGCAGGCCTCCTGCAGAGCAGGGAACCCAATGTGAAGCTTGATCCCAGGACCCTGGGATCATGACCCGAGCCGAAGGCAGACGCTTAACGACTGAGCCACCCAGGCACCCCTACATAGAGCTTTAAAAACTTTTCCAGATGCTTTAATATCTGTTACTTTATTTTCTTAACACTGATGCAGGAGGGGCACCTGTTGTCCCATTTTATAGATGAGTAAGTTAGGCACATACATCTAATCAGTGGTCAAGATGAATACCCAGGCCTTCTGATATAATTGCTTTTTGGAGGGAGACCACACATCTTAAAATTTGTTTCTTGAGTAATATCCTTTCAGAAAACTTACCGTTATTCCACTCTTTTTAAGAAGGGATTTGAGGTGAGAATTAAAGTGTAAGCTACGCTTAAGCACAAGGGTGCTCAGAAATTTTCATAGAAGTAGAATCTCTTGACATTCAGTGTAGGCAGTTAGTCACAATGATTGAGCTATTAGCTCTTGGGTGTGCCAGCTTCCAGAAGACACAGGCAGGGTTCAGGCAGCACTGCCTTACAAGCACGTAGTATGTGATTTGTAGAATAAATAGGTTAAAGGTCTTTTTTATTTCAACAAAAATGATTATCTAGACATTCCATTTCTCCCTGATTATTTCTTAAAAGCCACTCCCAGTGCTAGGTAGCCTCAGATTACTTACCAGCTCTTGAGCATTGGTTCCCAGAATCACTTGGGCGGCTTTTAAAAAAAATGCACATTCCTGTGTCTCCCCCCCCCCCCCCCCCGGCAAACCTACAGAATCAGACTCTCTGGAGGGCAGTGTAAGTTCTTTAGTTGATTTGGATGGCCATTGAGGCTGGGTTATTTCCAGAGGGATTAATGGATTTGATGACCTCCCTCCCTAGCTTCCCCCTTCCCTGAAGAAAACCAGCAGGTAAGTGGGCTGTCCTGAAGGAACAGAGGCATTCTTGAAGTTGCCAATCCATTGATCCCTTGAACCAAAGCCATTGATGGAGGGAGCAGGCTCGTGTGTGGCTAAAAGGAAAGATGCAGTATAAGCTCATCTTGAATATGTATCTGTTACATTTCTGCAGCATCGGGCTCTAATGGAAGAACTAAATCGCAGCAAGAAGGACTTTGAAGCAGTCATTCAAGCCAAGAACAAAGAATTGGAACAGACCAAGGTACTAGAAAGAAGATGAAGGTTTAGAATTTGGTTAGTACATGCAACTCAGCATTTTCAACAGTGCAAGGGTTGCAATGGTGAATGAAGAGAGAGATTATGGCAATTCTCTGCCTCAGGGGAAATAATGCGTAAAATTATTCAGGCCTATAGAAGGGTCTGCCTCTAAGACATTTTTTTCCTTCCCTCATTCAGAAGCGAAATGCTGGGAATGAGACTCTCATCCTGCAGTCTCATCCTTTGGCTGTGGTAGATGCTCCTTCAGAGTGTTTCACTGAGACAGGCTAAGGGGTGGTATAGTCGAGAAACAGTTCATCCTGATGCATGTAGATAATTATTTCCCACATCACATCAGTGGAATGCTTAAATTAGGGGTTCTAAACTCAGGTGCCCTCCAGGGTAGACTGGTAATAGAAGTGAGTGGAGTGGCCTTGGTGCAGGGTCACAGTAGGGAGCTGTGAGGACAGAGGCACACCAGCCAGGGGCACTTGCCACCCCCCTTGCCCATCCCCGCCCCCGAGAGGCAGCTCTTCTCTGCTGTAGCCAGTTGTTGCCATCCAGAAATGCAGGCCCACTGTTGTCAGATCTTCTGACTTTTCCACAGAAGATGGAAATCCAAATGTTTATGTGAACTATTTCAATTTTAAATATTAGCAACAAATTCAAGGTTTTTTTGTTTTGTTTTTTAATACCCTGAGGGCCAAACTAAACAAATCTGTCAGCCAGATCCAGTCCACAGGCCACCGGTTTGGAACCTCTGCCCTAAACTTAATGCCTAAGGCTGACTGCATCTCTCAGCCCACCCCTCCCCACAGACGGACCTGGAGCAGAATACAGAAAGGAGGAGACTCAACTTTCATTTGGTTTGAGATCCTTATCCTCTGTTTAAATCACATAGTACTTTCTTTCTGAACTTCCAAAAAACCACATCTTTTTAAACCTGGCAATTTGTAAGTTTTCAGGGAACTTGACTTTAGTTAAAATGGGTCCAGACCCTCTTCACTGCCCTAAGCAGTGTGACAGTCTTTGCTTTGATTAAAAGAGACAATAAAAGATGAAAAATTGGGGCGCCTGGGTGGCTCAGTCATTAAGCATCTGCCTTCGGCTCAGGTCATGATCCCACAGTCCTGGGATCGAGCCCCGCATCGGGCTCCCTGCTCAGCAGGAAGCCTGCTTCTCCCTCTCCCACTCCCCCTGCTTGTGTTCCCTCTCTCCCTGTCTCTCTCTCTGTCAAATAAATAAAATCTTTAAAAAAAATGAAAAATTAATCACCGAGATACACCCTAAATGGCCTTAGCTTTCCCCTCAGGGGCTCCTGACACTTTCAGTTTAGGGGATGAGGTGCTGACTTAAATAAATGTCTGCGGGGCACCTGGGTGGCTCAGAGTGTTAAGCGTCTGCCTTCGGCTTAGGTCCTGATCTCAGGGTTCTGGGACCGAGCCCCACATAGGACTCCCTGCTCGGTGGGGGTCCTGCTTCTCCCTCTGCCGCCCCCCCCCCCCGCTTGTGCTTTCTTGGTCTCTATCTGTGTCAAATAACTAAATAAAATCTTTAAAAATAAATAAATAAATAGATGTTTGCTTCAAGAGAACATACCTAGGATCCTTCCCAAAAAGTGTGTCCACAGGTGGTCTGACCTCTTGGGGGAAGCAGAGGGAAATTGGACTGCAGACCTCTGCAGGAGGTGGAGGTGGCAAGCATCATAGAGCTTAGATCCCCAAGGGCCTGGAAGAGGCCCTCTCAGCCTCCTGCCTCCAGGGAGGAGTATAAGTATTAGCCTTATTTTGTAGAAGAGGCAGCTGCAAGGAACACAGGGGACCTTATAAACTAATTCAGGCTTCCTGCCTCTTTGGCCTGTCTTTCATGTCTGCTTTCGTGTCCAGTAAGTTCTTGGTTGCTTGGGATGATTTTATATCACCTCTAAACTGCGGTTAGTTATAGGATATGTAATCCTCATTCTAGTCTTGGGTGGTCTGCATGCTACCTTCAGTTTTTCTCATTTGGTTAGTTCTGGGGAAGGAGACCTACAATGCAAATACAGAAAAAGTGGAGAGAGGAAAGAAAGGAAGCCATTGCCCTATATTAGAAAGCAGTTCTGAGAAATCATAATCCTCTGGGAAAGGGTTTCATTTCTCCTGTTGCTGTGCCAGGTTGAATATTTTGTTTAGACTCCTGAATCCTATTCCAGACAATTAACCTGCTCCCTGTCCTGTTTTGCATTCTTGTCGGTTCCCCCAAATGACAGATGGGATTGTGTGTCTTTGCAGGAAGAGAAGGAGAAGGTGCAAGCACAGAAGGAGGAAGTGCTTAGCCACGTGAATGACGTGCTAGAGAATGAGCTCCAGTGTATTATTTGCTCAGAATACTTCATTGAGGTAATTACAAGCAGTGGCTCATGCCTTCTTACTCCTCTCAACCCTGAACGGAGCCTCGGCTGCACAGGTTCTGCTATAGGGAAACATTAAGAGATTTTTATTCTAGGAATCTGTTGTAGTTATCTGACCTCAAAAGTGACCTCGAAAGGTGGCCATGTCTCATTTGTCTTTTGTAGTCTTCTTTACCTTTACTGATCTTTTTATTTTGTGTGTTGTTGAGTGTTTATTTGGTACAGTCGCTCTTTTTAGCTGCAATAAAGCCTTTATTTCTTTGTTGTTGGGAGAAAACGGGGCGACGTGGCATTAGATTTTTGAGGTATCAGAGTAAAGCTGCTCAATAAAGCTTCTCTTTCTTTACTCTGAATGGGCGCAGTGCTGAGAGTGGGCGGATAGTTCGTGCAGCCTTTAACAGGGTAGTAAATGTCACTGACGTGTGACCACTTTGGGAATTCAGCCAAATGGAACATATTTCCGGGACTTTGAGGCTCCCTGTGAAAACGAAAACATCTCCTAGGTTACCATTTGTTACCATGTCCAATTTTTGCATTTGTGACCAGTTCATCTTACACCACTCATCTTAACTCAAGTTGTTAAATGACAGTGTTTTTCAGACTTCTTTAAAAAAGAAAATGCATGCACGCATTCCTTCCTTGTCTTTGGTAGTCTGTAGTGAGGTTGAGTCTATTAGCCTCCTGAGAAATCTGTCCTGGGTAGATCTGTTTCTTTTGCTCTGGATCCAGTTTGACTTCAGGTCATCATTTCCCTCATTGTTTCTAGTCATTTGATCCCCTACTTTGGAGGGACTCAGTGTGGCTTTGACAGGGCTCTGCTAGAGGAAGGCAAGGGGAGGGATGTTGGGCTGGGTGATGAGTTAGCCCACCCGGAACATCTCCACAGACAGAACAGACAAACAACCTGACCCACGCCTTGTTTACTGCAGACTGCCTGACCTTTTCTATGGTGACCTTGTAAAGTCAGTGTTGGAAAGAGGTTTTATTTTAATCAGACAGGTTTTTAGTCCTGTTTGTGAAGATTTATCTCATATAGTTAACAAAATACCTCCTAGTTGGCTTTCTGTGCTTGACTTGGCATTTGAAAAATGCATAATTTCTATTTTCCACTACTATCCTAAAAGCAGGAATGAAGACTTTTGAGCCTCAGAAAAACATAAAACTTGTTTATGTACATCTCCTAAAGATGTAAAGAAAAACATCTTTAGGAGATGTACATAAACAAGAATAGTGAAGAGCACGGTTTATATTTTCAGAAGTGAAAAGGGCCCTGGTAGACATCTGACCATTGGAGTGACTCGGAGGAGCTCCTCAGCTTTAGACTCCCTTCTGCTTTCCCTCTCTTCTCAGGCTTATTTACTTAAGGGTTCAGTCACTGTCAGTGAATCCATTACATTTTTCCCATTGTTTAGTTTCTTTTTCCCCAGACTTTTTAGTTGTCTTTTACATGTATTTTACTTTTTAAGTTTTTTTGAGTATAGATGCTGCCTCCTACCATTCTATATACTGAGTATTCAGAGTGTGCTTCCCATCATCTATTAAAATTGAAGCTCTCATTCTCCATTAGCAGGTTATACATTTGTTTTCCATGAGAGAATTAGTGATGTATTTGTACCATTCACACGCTTACTAGCCCTACTTGTGTCCAGTGACGTTTGTTTGCAAGGTAGCTAACCTGCCTTGGCAGTGTCGTCTGAGTTGGTGGAACGAGACAGACAAATCTGAACTTACCTTTGAGAACGAAGATGAACCATCTGACTTAAAATCTCCCAGCCCCAAGAACAATTCTAATACCCTCTGTAAGCCCTTTAGATGGGATTAGGGTTAAATTTCCATTTGGCCTTGGAAATGAACTCTTGTCCTAGCTTTGAGATCACAACCTCCCTGGGAAAGCAAGCATGACGGTTCTGATGTGTGTGTTCACATTCCCATTGTAGGCTGTCACCTTGAACTGTGCCCACAGTTTCTGCTCCTACTGTATCAATGAGTGGATGAAGCGGAAGGTAGAATGCCCCATTTGTCGGAAGGACATCAAGTCCAAAACTCACTCCCTGGTTCTGGACAATTGCATTAATAAGATGGTAGATAATCTGAGCTCAGAAGTGAAAGAACGACGAATGGTCCTCATTAGGGAACGAAAAGGTGAGTGGGTGTGAATAAGAAGGTGAGTGAGTTCCCTCAACAGAAGACTGACAAACTTAAAGCCGATTTTTTTGGTTGGGGAGGAGAGTCACATAAATGATTCTTAAGCTAAAGAAGAGGAGGGAGAAGTGGGGAAAAAGGAAGGAGAGTTAAAGGTAATGAACATGTGAGAAAGAGTTGAGGGAGAATGGACTCACGTATTTGAGCAACGGGAAAGGGGGAGATTTAAGTGTATGTACCTTGGTTATGGATGTGGGTAGAAAACACAAGGTCAGAAGGTTTATTGTACTGATCACTAGATGGTGCTGTTGTTAAGGACAGGTCAGTTGCTGTCCAGGTGTTGGCAAAAATCTTGGGCTGGGTACACAATCAGTTATCAATAGGAGATGAACAAGTCAGAGATTGACAAATTGGAGAATGCTTGATGAGAACACACATTTTATAGTAAGTCACAGCTTAATTACACAAATTGAACATAATGTTAAATTAGAGAGAGAAATTTAATCTTTGAGGATGCTAATATGTCTACCCGCTAGTCTCCCAGTTGGAGAGAATTTGAATAAAGAGATGGGGGAAATGGGTGGGTGAGTTCCCCTGCTGAACCATGCTTTCTTGGTGCATATCCACTTATTCAACCAAGTGATCTCATCACCCTTGACGCTTGCTGTGTTGAGGGTTGCAGAGCCCCTCCACTTGAGACTTAAATGTCCTTGTGGTAAAAGATGCATCTTGGGGCAAGGCACAAGGAAGCTAATGGAGAGGAAAAAGGATTGGTTATTGGCCAGGGATGAGAGTGCACAGAAGCAGGGTGGATCCAATTATCACGGTAATAATAATCCAGCACAGCACTACCTTCTGGGAGAGCATCAGAGCCAAAGTGCAGTGATGTCAGTTGGCTGCCTATAAAAGCCAAGCAGAGAAGAAGACCCAGAAGCTCACTGTCCTTACAGGTGCTCCCCACCACCTGGCCATTGGTAAACCAGACTCATACGTGTCTCTGGATATACCTTTCTCCAAGTCCAGAGAAACTGAAGGCCTAAACGCCACACTGCTAAGAGTAGGATCATCTGTCCGCTGCTTCCTTCCTGCTAGCCCTTCAGCCAATGTCAGCCACTTTGAATAGGGCCAGGAATCTGCTGCTAATCTGCAGGCGGCCGTGCTGTGACTCTGGCCCTCGGCTGGTCAGCCAGAGCGGAGGCTGAAAGCCTGTGCAGAGCCAGGTGAAGCAGCTGCTGAGCAGGAAGTGGGCTTGAGCCTGTCCTGCCAAGGAAGACATTCTCACCTGGGGAAGGGTGGGACAGCCCTCAGGTGGTTCTTTGGAACTAAAGTGTTTTCCACTTTCCTGACAGCTATGTGCTCATAGATTTTGTGGCCAGTTTGAGTCCCCCCAGATCTTTTACCTTGCAGGAGCCGCTTGATTCTGGCAGAATCCCATTGCTCTTCCCCTCACTTCTCACTCCGTCAACATTTACAGGAACGGTACACATCACACGGGGATAAAGAGATACATACGGCCTTGTCGCCGCTCCCACAGCACTAAGTCTGGATGGAGGTGGGAGAAAGGCAAGTGGGCAGTCAGACAAGTTCCATGCCAGTTTGCTGGTACACTGTAGAGGAGCGGGCTGTCGGTTTGGTCTGGGCAGGTAGAGGTCCAGTAGAAAGCTTCATGGAAGAAGTGTCATTTGAACTGAGTCTTAAAGGTTCCCAGGGGTGGAGCTTTCCAAGCAGAGGCTTCAGCACAAAGCACAGAGGCACGAGAAGCAGTGATGTGTTCATAGCAGTGCCCCCTCATTGCCCATACGTGACAGAATGTCCACATGGTGCCAGGGCAGCCTGAGGACAGCCACGGCTTAGGAAGTGTCCGCTGAGGTATTGTGAATGCCTTCTGAGAGGACCAGTGACCTGGGACCCAGATTTAACCCAGGTCAGCCTTTGAGTTGGAGTGTGCTGGGTCTCAGGGGTTGGGGACACCCATGTACTTTCTTCACCAAGCGCACTGACTGGGTTTCTTCTTGTGCGTGCAAGTGCGATAGATGGCTTCATGCAGCACTGGAAAGGGTAAGAAGAGCCCCGTGTCTTAAGTTCACCTCTGGCTCCCCTCACACAGTTAACCCTGCAGAATAAATCACATCAAACCCCCCTTTCCCTCCAGAGGCTAAAGAGGGTGCCTCTGTGCCTTGTCGGTAACCCTTGGAGCGGACGCGGTGAACTGAAGTGGCCTTCCCGCCTCGCTCTCCCCCGCTGGGAGGGGCGCTGACACTGGTCTCCGTTTCTGTGGTTATTGCAGCGAATGTAGCTCCGAGGTGTTCTCCAGAGACAGACAGAAGGTTTTGAGTCCTGATTTAGGGAAACGTGCCAGAGCCATCAGCAGCTTCACTGGTCTGCAATGTGAGGTTTAGAGAAAATTCTCAGTTCAAATACCAACCTTCCTTGCCGATTGAAAGCTGTTTAATCCCCAGTGCATGGGAATTTTAAAGAAGGACCCGACTTAGGATCTGGGAACTGGGATTGGCAGGCCTGTAATTGTCAGAGTTTGGATACCGCAGGAGGGCTGTTTTCCTCCTGGGCAGGGGTTTCTTTTACCACAGACTCAGGGAGGGAAACCTGTCTGTCTGGCGGTGTAAGGTGCTGATTCCACCAAGAGCAGCCCCACTCCAGGCCTCCCTGGCTGGTTGTTGTCTTCTAGTTCCGTATCCCCGTGGGAGGAGTGATGCCGCATGACTGATGAGCCACTGGTCCTTGTAAACTCTGTGAGGCCAGATTATACAGAGGAGAGGAGGAAAATGCTCGGATACTAGAGCCTATGTTAGAAAAAGGATGCTCTGGAGCTGGGGCAGATAATAAACATCTAGTAAGTGCTTGTCACATGAATAATTGTGGCTCTCTGGGATATTGACATGAGATTTTCTGAAGGGAAGACATTTTTTGACATTCCCTATAGAGGATCTCCCTCCGGAGCTGGTGAGGGGCTAGAGCAGAGTCTTCTGTCAGCTACTCCCCCCTCCTCTGTTTGTTCTGTTCTCATTAAATGTTGGTTGGTTGACAAGGGTGTTAACATTCTCACTTTTAGCTTTCCCTAGCAGTTTCTTTGGGTTGTGCTCAGAAAAGAAGAAAGCAAATTATCTAGAAATAAAATCTTGTCGGTCCTTTAGAATAGTGATTTTCAATCCAGGGGCTTTTTCAGACTACGTCCCCTGGCTTCCTTGGTACTATTACACTGAACCAAGGCTACTGGCGGGAGCACGCTGTGGCCTTTAGGTATGCTGAGGTGGGGAGAAGGGTTTAGGAAGCACAGCTTCCCTGAGTCTGTGACACAGGCCCCTGCAGACTTGAGGGTCGCTGGGAAGATAGACTCTGGTCAGACCACAGGGCCTGTGGCCTCCTGCCAGTTTCCTGTAGGCTGTGAGGAGGGTGATCCAGACGCGGGACAGGAGAAAGTGGCAGTCACTGAAAAGAGTATCTGTCTGCACAGCTGCAAGGTGTTCCTTGATAATGCCCATCCCCCTCTGCTGAAAGACAGAGCCTGTAGAGGAGGATGTGGGCATGGCCTCAGTAACCGTGTCTGGCAAGCTGAGCTCATCCAGAGAGAATACTTGTTAGCAAGTACTCTTAATCCACCCAGTCCTGCCCCTAGAGAATCTGAAGGGTCGTGTGCATGAAGTCAGCATGCCTGCCCAGCAGGACAGTTCATCTGGGGGAAAATGGCTCTCAGCAAGGTAGGCATGGGCTGGGGTGTCCACATGCACGCACTCAAATAGTATGTAACACTGAACTCTTTAAAATTTTTGACTTTTAAAAATTCTTCCTTTGTAAAATCGCCATGGGATAGAAAATTAGTAGACTTGTTACTAGAAGTTTTTTTTTTTTTTTTTTTAATTTTTTTTTTTTTTTTCAGAGACACAGCGAGAGAGGGAACACAAGCAGGGGGAGTGGGAGAGGGAGAAGCAGGCTTCCCGCCAAGCAGGGAGCGCGATGTGGGGCTCGATCCCAGGACCCTGAGATCATGACCTGAGCCGAAGGCAGACGCTTAACGACTGAGTCACCCAGGTGCCCCTAGAAGCTTTTTTTGTATTTCTCCATCACCACCTCCCATTTTTGCCCCTTAATTTTCCTTTCCTTCTCTTTGTCTATTGTCCTTCCTTTCCTTATCCCTGATGGGCATCTCCGCCATCACCATTACTGGCATCTCAGAATGCATAGTTGGAAATGACAAGGGCAGCACAGCAACTGTCCCCCCAGTGGGGGAGGGGACTGTGATCGGCGTAGAGGTGGGATTAATTACAGTGCGTGTGGAGTAGCAACCCGTGAAGCCCCAGAACCTCAGATTGCTTGCCGACTCTAGAGTCCTTTAGACTTATTTTTTTTTTTAAGTTTTTTATTTATTTATTTGAGAGAGAGCGAGAGAGAGCGCACGTGCACTCGCACAGGCGGGGGTGGGGGGGTAGCGAGGGCACAAGGAGGGCACAAGCCGACTCCGTGCTGAATATGGAGCCTGACACACAGAGCCTGAAGCGGGGCTCCATCTCACTACCCTGAGATTATGACCTGAGCCGAAATCAAGAGTTGGACACTCAGCCAACTAAGCCACTGAGGCTCCCCTTTTGTCTTCTTAATGATAAAACAGAGTTATTTTGGTTCTTTAAAAATTGGATTCTCCCTTCTGATGAGCATGTAACTTGATGATTTGCTTTACAGACATACACTTTCAGGAAGTGCTTATTATAGAAGACGACCTGTGTGAATACAGAGGATGTCATTAATCAAACCAGATTTTCCCTGAGAGTTTCTTGGTTTCTACACTTAACTCTAGATGAACACAGAGCATTTTTAGATTTCCATGAACTAATCTTAGAGAGTGGCTGGGGTCACTGATTGTGCTTCTTCCTCCCTTTCCCCATAGAATATCATAGAATTGGGTGCATCACCCGTTGAGGCTTCTCTGCACCAACTGGATATATATCCTGCCCGACTGTCTGCTACTGTGGTTTTTAAGAAATCTAATGAGACCGGACATGCTCCTATTCCCGGCTAAGGCTTCTGCTTGAATTGCTTTCTGCTTTCCGACTCTGGAGAGTTTGGACCTCTTTCACCCTTGTCCCGGGAAACCGGAACCAGAACCAATGTCTGTTCCTTGCTTCCTTTCACCTGGGCCTTTCCTTCTCAGTTCCTACTAAGTGCCAGATGTTGGGGATAAAAGTAAGCAGGGCATAGGTTGAAAGACTGCCTCTTGGATGTAGCAGGAGCGTGGGCTGTGGATGACTTCATCTAGTACAGGTTTGGGGGGACTGGTGGGGTGAGAGGCTAGTTTGCAGTGAACTGGAGAATGGGTGTGAGGTCAGGGAGTAGAGCAGAGTAAGATAGACAGGGTCCTCAAGAAATTTGGCTACCGCCAAGGTGGTAGGGGCAGCACCAAGAGAAGGCCCTGGTTGGAGGAGGGGGTGGGGTAAGGGGAGGGTTTGGTTTTGTTTGGTTTTGTTTTGTTAAAGACAGGAGAGATCCGAGTGTGTGCAGTTGCTGAGCCTGCGGCAGAGGAGAGGCTGGGAAGTTGAGATAGCGGGCAGGCTCAGATTCTTTGGAAATCCGGACGGGGCAGGGCAGGGGATGCATGGCCCAGATTGGGGAATTAGTCTTTTAAAAGTGGGAGGGTACATCTGTCTTCTAGAGAGAAGGGTTTAATGTGGGCGGGTGGGCAAGGAAATTTGCTTGAGGGGAGTCAAGAGAATTTCTTTCTTGTGGCTTCTGTATCTTTCTGTGAGTTACTAGGTGAGGCTATTAGCTGCAGGGAGGGGAGCCTCGCTTAGCTCTCTCAGCTCCCCAAGGCTGCCCACAAGTGGAGAAGAGTAGCTTTTATAACCCTGTCAGTCCTCCTGCCGACAGTTGTTCAGGACCTCAACCTCAGGGAAGGGGACGGTCTCCCTGGTAGCTTTATTGTGCTCTTAGGCCAGGATCCCTGCTTCCCCAGATTGAGGAAGCAGAAACAGTGAATAGCGGTAAATTGTCCCTCCCATCTCTCCCTGTCTCTCTCTCCTTGCCTAGTGCTGTGTATGTAATTCCTTCGTCCTTCAACACGTGTTCAATGAGGGCCAGCTTTGTGCCAGGCGCTGCTCTAGGATCCAGGAATAGAAAGAGAAGTGAAAATCTAGTGAGTTAGATGTGATTAGTGCTACGGAGAAAAAGCGAGGGATCAGGGAGTGAGTGATCGTTGCCATTTTTGGTAAGGTGGTCTTGGGAGGTGTCAGAAGGCAGTACTGGAGTAAAGCCCTGGAGGCAGCGGCCAGGCCACCTTGCGGGGAAGAGTGTTACAGGAAGGGGGAATGCGCCTGGGGAGGCGGAGGGCCGCGAGGCAGCCAGTATGACCAGAGTGGAGCGTGCCTCCTGGGTGAGGGGGGCAGCACAGAAGGACCTCACGGGCCTTTGGTAGGAGTGGGCCTTGAACTCTTACTCTGGGAGAAATGAGGAGCAGGCTCTGTGCAGCGTGACATGAGGGTGGCAGCAGGGAGGCCGGACCAGGGAAATGCAGGCTCCTCTTTTAATTCTCTTCTCTTTCTCTTCCAAGCAAAGAGACTGTCCTGAAGACCACGCTCCAGGGGCGTTCGAGGGACTGCCAGGCAGTGGAAGCTTGGGAGGGTCTGGAGGATTATCTGTGGACAGGTCTTGGGCCTCTCTCAGATGGCGCTCAGGACGGAGCCCCGTGGGACAGAGACTGAGAGCGAGTCCCCTGCACGACCGATGTTGGCTAGCCGTGCTGCCACCACGAGGGCTGCTTCCGGGGACTTGAGAGACTCTGCTTCCCTGTGTGGTGAATGGGTTATGTATTTCTGTTCTGCTTTTTAACTTGATTGTTTCTGTTAGCGTTTTGGTACCTCAGAAGCCCCTCAGTTGACATTTGTTTTGGACAGGTTGGGGTACCCCTACGGCTGACTCTAAAAGCTAAGGCAGCCTCTCTTGGAGAGGATGGTCTACCTCTTTGTGAAAACAAGATGTCATTTCCTGGAAATAAAATGTAAAGCCTATCAGTTGCTCAGCTGGGCTTTGGTGTATTTATCTTCTTCCTTTCCAGCTCCCACACAGTCTCAAGTAAACACTGGTAGCTCATAAATTGCAACCAAGAAAGTGACTGTATCAGATGATAGACTCAAGTGAATGTCAGCCTAAGAACCAAGCCCAAGATCATGGCCATAGCAGATGGGCTCTGTTAAGACCCTGTTTGTCCTTTTCATTCCAGAGGTAGGTCACTGCTTACCTGGTTTCAGGAGGGGGTGGATTCCCTTCTTTCAGCTGGGGTTCGGAAGTTGTTTCTGAATCTATTTATTTAGTAACTCTATGCCCAGCGTGGGGCTCAAACTTAACAACACTGAGTTCAAGAGTCACACGCTCCACTGACGGAAGCAGCCAAGTGCCCCCAAATCTCTTTTACCCAGTGTCAGAAAACAAGGGCAGTGGTTTTATGAGAATGCGATTTTATTTATTTATTTGTTTGTTTATCTGTTTATGTTTAAGTTAACAGTCATTTCTCTTTTGCTGCCTCTCCCCTTTTAAACAGAAAGAACTAGTTTGATGTTTGGGAGATAGAAGCTTAGGAAGACCCGTGGCCTCCTTGGTTACTAGTGAGGAGAATGAGAGAAGAAACAGGAAGCTGAAGAGTAGTGACTTGAAACAGGGAGCTCTCTCGTAGGATTAGGAAACTGCACGTTATGTCATTTAGCAGTTTGCTACCCTTTTTACTGTCTACCTGGAGAACCATACTTTGTAGTGCTTTATTTATATGCCCTGTGTTTTTATTAAGGATTGGGAAGTATTGAATCACCAACATTTTAGGGACTGGAGATTTTTTCCTTTGTTGAGTATTCTGGAAATATTGGGAATCCAGAGTCCTAATCTTCATTTCCATCTCTGGAACTTGATTACTGGTTGGAACGCTGGTGCAGTCATGGTGGAAGTGAGTTAAACGTACATCATCATAACCACATCATAAAAATCCTGATAAAGATTATTAAAAATAAAAGATGATTAACATCTTGATGTAACACTGAATTTCCCCTGTACATGTATTTTGTGTATATGATTGTGTGGGCATATATAAATTTTTGTATATTCTGTTGGATTGTTTTTTTTAAGATTTATGTATTTATTTTAGGTGGGGGGTCGGGGGAGAGCATGCCAAAGTGGAGGGAGAGGGAGAGAGAATCCTCAAAAAGACTCCCCACTGAGCATGGAGCCTGACACGGGGCTCGATCTCAGGACCCTGAGATCATGACCTGAGCCAAAACCAAGAGTTGGCCACTTAACTGACTGAACCACCCAGACACCCCTTTTTTTAAGCTCACATCATAATTCACTTTTAGAAGACTACAGATAAACATTTTTTGAATAGGTAATATGGTTGCATGCTTTAAAATCAGAAGGTACAAAGGGATGGAAAGTGAAAATCCTATCACCCTTGTCCCCCAGTGACCACTTGCCGGCACAGTGCTGATGAGTGTTACCAGTTCTTTGGGTATCCTTCCAGAGATCTTCTCTGACTGTACAAACAAAATACACATACATAGTCTTTTCCCTTCTTTAAAACGAATTATGACAGACTGTACACTATTCTATGCCTTGCTTTTTTTCAGATATATCTTGCATGATGGTTCCATATCAGAACACAAGGAACTTCCTCTTTGTTCTAGCTGCCTATTATTCCACTGTGTGTTTGTACCATAATTTGTTTTTCCAGTCTGTTTTTGATCTGGGTTGCTTTAAACCTTTTACTTTTTTTTATACAGCTCTCAAAGTCCTATTACATAAATCTCAGAATATGTACTTTTAACTAAAACAACAAAATAAAAATAACAAAAAAATCACATAGAACCCATAAAATGGTATGCAAAGAAGGAAAAAGGAAAGTCTGGAAATCCACATACTGTGAGTTCTTTATTAAAATCAAGGAGGCTCAGTCTGTTTCTTTTATTTTTTTAAATTTTTTTTTAAAGATTTTATTTATTTGACAGAGAGGGCACACAAGCAGGGGGAGGGGCAGAGGGAGAGGAAGAAGCAGACTCTCCGCTGAGCAAGGAGCCCGATGTGGGACTCGATCCCAGAATCCTGGAATCATGACGTGAGCCAAAGGCAGACACTTAACTAACTGTAACTGAGCCACCCAGGTGTCCCTCAGTCTGTTTCTTTTAAAAAATGTTTATGGTTGGGCGCCTGGGTGGCTCAGTTGATTAAGCGACTGCCTTCGGCTCAGGTCATGATCCTGGAGTCCCGGGATCGAGTCCCGCATCGGGCTCCCTGCTCGGCAGGGAGTCTGCTTCTCCCTCTGACCCTCCCCCCTCTCATGTGCTCTCTCTCTCTCTCGTATTCTCTCTGTCTCAAATAAATAAATAAAATCTTTAAAAAAAAATGTTTATGGTTGTAACTATTTTCCTAAATGTTTTATTAGTAATAGTCTTGTAAGTCTGGTTCCATAAGAATCTATAAGATAACCACTTCCATCGAATGTCCAACAATATGCACTGAAATAAGAATGAAATCAGTTAGGCTCCCAATTCCACAAATCCTATGGCAGAGTATCCAAGATAAAATGATCTCCCAACCATCCAAGCAAAAGTGCAACTATTACTTTGTATGAATAGCCATTTACATTTACATTTGGGAGCTTGAAAAAATCAACTTCATTTCCGGTAAAATGTTTCATTGCCACAGAAATCCTCCTAAGTTGTCTTGGATGCTAGAAAACAGCACGAGGTGTGTAGTTTATACAAGTAATTAGTTCTTGCATAGCATTGTTTTTTGGTTGGGTTTTTTTTGTTTTTGTGTTTTAGATATTTACAAAAATACTGTCCCATTTTGACGTTCTCACATTTGTATCTCCTTGCCCTCAGTGGTGGTGGTGGCAACCCTCCAAGGTCCCATGGTAACTGATATGAACCACAGGACACCCAGGAGCTGTTGGGCATGTTAGGGGCCAATGACTCCCACTTTTTACGCTTAAAAACAATGTTGCAGTGAACATTCTTATCGTTAGAGCAAAGATCCCTGAAGAAGAAGAAACATCTTGACTGGAAGAGCCTGAAGGCCATCTGCTGAGACTAATAATCTCACAGACTGACCATTCCCTCCTTCAGCTGCTAGACACAGGGTGACTTAAAACCTCTGCTTTCAGAATACCACGTTCTTCTCCAGTGGGGCACACAAGAAAGTTGAGCTCTTAAATACAGGCCTAAGCAAAAGAAAACATTTAAAAGACTAGCTGGGTTTGAATCCCAGCCCTGCCATTTGTAATTGTGTGACCTTGAGCAAGTTACTCAACCTTCCTGAGCCTCAATCTCTCCATCCCTTAAAAACCCTGACAAGCAGTTGTGAGGCCTAAATAATTATCCCAGTTATGGCGCTGCTCACAAGCAAAAACCTGAATGTTCTATTTTTAGAAGACAAACCAAAAACTAGCCCAAACTTTTGCATCATTTCTCTGAGCTACAGGATGTTCTTTCCCTGGAGAGATACCTGATATTAAACATCTACCTTTTGCTTGCTTAGAAAAATACATGGTAACTTTTCTGCCTGCAGCACCAAACCACAGTATAGCTGAGCCCCACCACTGTGTAGTCTGACTCTAATTAAAGGCATGTTCTCTACAACAGGACTCGGAGAAACTGGGTAGGAAGGGTTTGTTTCAGAGTCAGCTTTATTACACAGATGAATACAGCCAGCCTGCTCTGTGAAGCGCTTTGCAGTGAGTGGCAGGTGTCCCATATACGTCTGATTACGTTAGCCTAGAAAGGGCTTACTGCACCTCCGGGCGGGCTTCATCTCAGCACTCAGACTGTGCCCCGGGTGGGGCACTTTCCCCTTTGTGGGTTCCATAGCTGGATACTCATCATCTGCTTCTCCAATTGGAAGCTGCTCTTTTTAGAGAAAGGCCTAAAGCCCCTTGTTATCTCTCTCCAGCCCTTCTCTCTCACTACTTTTTCCTCTGAACGACTATTCAGGCAGTCACCACAGCCGCAAAGAGTGCCTGCGATGGGCAATTCTCTCCAGCTGCCCGTTTGCTTTTTACATCCTGACTCTGGATAGAATCTCCCCACTTCATAGCTAAGGGCATCCTAGAAACTTAGCGATGCCCTAAATATGTTCTCAAAACACATTCTAGGCCTCTAAAGAATCCTAACAACTCTATTTGACACAGAAATTAAGAGAAGGAACATTTAACTTGCATTGTGGTCCTAAGCTCAGAACCTACGAAAGTAAAGAGAATCATGTAATCACCTTCCCCCACCAAGAGATGCAGGCTTGTTAACAGGTACAGGACCTGATTTGAGCAGAATGCTGCCACTGGTAACAGTAGGCCAAGAGCTTGTTCTTCTGGACACCAGTTCAACTTCCCATTTGGTCACTTCCTTTAGCTTTTTCTATAAATGGGAGTTGAGGCAGTAGGAGTAGGGGCTTCTGGGGAGAAGACGGGCCTTGTATTGATGAGAAATAATGAACTGTCTTGTTCAACTAATTTCGTTAGTTTAGAAGAGCATACGAATTCCAGGAGAGGGTTGGGTCTGTAGTAGGTGCTCAGTGAATACATGCTGTATTTCTCCTGTCTTCAGCACCCCTGAACAGTGTACCCACTAGGGGTTACCAGAGCTCACTACTTTAATTTCCATGCCTCATATCCTGCTTCTTGTTTGCTTTACCAAATTCTAAAGCAGATCCCCACCTCAGATCCAATTTCCAGACCCGCTGTCTCTACTACCCACTTCCCTTTGGGCTCTGAACACTTTAATCTGGTGTAACTTTTTTGTCATCCAGTAGCCATTTGAATTCTGGATGTTTCCAGTAGATTCAGTAATAGTTATTAAATACCTATTTTTGACTAGGTGCTGCTCTATGTGTTTGGGGTATGGCCCTGACAAAAAAAAAAAAAAAAAAAGCTGCTGTGAGCCTACAGTCTGTTCTCGGCGGGGTCAAAAGCTTCCCACAAAGGTTTTCCCAGATTACTGTGGGAGGGGCTGAGCAGTGCTACCTATGGAGCTAGCATGTTGGATGTGTCTT